CGGCGTCCCCCCCCCCTTCCGCCGACAGCAACATGACACTGACATCATCATGGCTATTTCCGGGATGATCTGATGATGATTTGACCTCGTCGGCGCGTCATGCTCGGGGAACGGCCACCGAGAGACAGGGATGAAGCGGCAGAATACTTCGTCTTCACAAAACCGGCGGATGTGCGGCAGTCCTCCTTCGAGAACATTCCGTGCGGCAGTCCTCCTTCCATTCCGTGCCAGTCCTCCTTCGAGAAAAGTCCCCTCTGAAGGTTTTCCTCTCCTTCTGATGCCCTTTTCTCGCTCCTCTCTGCAGGATTCTGGTATCTTGTGTTCCCAACGGCCGCGGGGATTGAATGCCTACCTGCACGCCGTCAATGTCCAGGTGGCATCATCTCAATTAACGCCAAATTGCACATTCGCCGGTTCGTGAAAACATCGATTTGTCGGTGGAGCTTTTATGAATACAGCGAACCCTCGCTATAACGCTGCGCTGAGATTTTGGTCATGGCTCTGCTGGAGAGGCTTTCACTCTCGACTCGCAAGGCAAGGCTTTCATCTCAAGGAGTAGTCTCATTCTGCGCTGAGATTTTGGTCATGGCTCTGCTGGCGAGGCTTTCACTCACGACTCGTAAGCAAAGGCTTTCAATCTCAAGGAGTAGTCTCATTCTGCGCTGAGATTTTGGTCATGGCTCTGCTGGAGAGGCTTTCACTCACGACTCGAAGGCAAAGGCTTTCAATCTCAAGGAGTAGTCTCATTCTGCGCTGAGATTTTTGGTCATGGCTCTGGTGGCGAGGCTTTCACTCTCGACTCGTGAGGCGAAGGCTTTCTTCTCAAGTAGTAGTCTCATTCTGCGCTGAGAGATTTTGGTCATGGCTCTGGTGGCGAGGCGGACGAAGAGAGGGAAATGCTCGCCAAGGACAGCCGTGTTGGTGTTTGTTTGTGTGTGGTGCAGTGGGCTTGCTTCTTAGCGTGTGTTGTGTTTTGATAGTGTGTGTGTGCGTGTGCGTGTGCGTGTACATGTGTGTGTGTGTGTGTGATGAACAACAAACACGAGGCGCAAATGATATTCGATTAGGTCATGCGATCCCAGACGAGGATCCTCATCCCTTCAGTCGCCAAATCCTCAGACCTTAGCTCGAGGAAAGTCCTTCGGGTCTCCGGTCCG